ATTTTCGAAAAAAGCTTTCACAGCTTCTCGGGTACTTTTTCACGGAAATTCCATCTACATTTTTTCCTCTTGCCTGACTTTTTTCTTAGCCAATATGAAACATACGTTGCAAGAATATGAAGTTAACGCGAGTCCTGCAAGCATGGCACAACCTCTTCTCGAGCCACTAAGGATTTGATAACTCATCGTTTCGATGGATACTTCAATTCTGAGAGATGAATCCATTTCTCCTCTGTCAATTTGTATTATGCGACAGTGACATCTCATCGCCATCCTCTATAAAGCGGATAAAGTTGCGAACGATATTTCTGCATGATAAGTATCGATTCCCTAGATAAAACCCAGTCAGTAGTCTTGATTGAAATATTGAATTCAACTTCTTTCGGAGAAACATGTATGCGATCCTCTCTTTGTCGTGCCGTTTTTCTCGGAACCGCTGCGGTTCACGTGGCAACAACAGTATTGAACTTTCCACAGAGTTCGATATATTATACATTGACGCGCGTGAAAGCGGCGCGTCCTTAAAAGATACATACCTACTTCCGCATCGTACGTAATACGTATACATATACATCCAGTGGCACTGTGTTATAAAGTACGCTTTTGTACCTGGAGAATCCGTGCCGTTGAATTGTCGAGTTGTCGCGAGGCTGCAGGCAAGAATTGAAAAAAGCTGGCGTATGAGCTGCGTCGGTCTTCCTCGCTCGGGCGTCTCTTGGCAGGAGGAAGAGTAGGCCCCTTTCTAATGGTAATGTGTGTCCATACAGACATATTATCTGGCCTGCCTGAGCCATCCGACTTTTTTATCAGTTCGCACGCTGGAACTGTAGGATTTAATGTGTGTATGCAGTATTGTTGGCTGGGTTTAATGAAAACGTACTCGTGTCGAAGACGCTTCGTATGCTTGTATGCACTGCTCTCGTGGCGGTGCTTGTTCATATTCATTATTCGATGTACATTTTTTTTTTTTTTTGATACCATGACAGAAACTTTCCAAGTGTTTCATCAAATACTTCCTTCTCTTTTGACTAGTGCCACAACATGTCAAAGAGTCTCTACCTGTGCGCAATAGAATTTGAAAAATAATGTCCATGACACAGGTGCTGTCTATCTTCTTATTACAACATTCGATCGGGGACTATATTGTTAAAAAAAAAATTGGTTACGGTTTCAACTGCAATAGTTTAGACAGATTTATCGTCCGAGTAAAAGCACCGGTATGTCACAATGCATTATTATTATTTGCAGCACGTAGCTCGAAAATAAAAAATTTCAAAAGCTTCGTACAATTATTCAACGCCAACGCTCGTGATATTAGCAATGATCGTTCCTGTGTCGAATAATAAAAATTTGGCACCAATAAATAGCGTTAGTCCAATAAATTATCCCATTTTACTTTCATGTGGTGTGGATATAGCCCGCACAAAATACACTCGTACGGAAGATAGGATGAGTGGTAAAAAACATGCAACTTATAAACTCGTCGTATACTGTTAGCTCTCAAGATTTTCTTACAGATGACTGATTGCCTGGGGTAGTCCGTGCGTGTAACACGTCCCACAAAAGCGACATTGCAGAGGCTGAGAAGTTAAGGAAAATGTACGAGCAACTCGTAGGTGAAACGTTAAACGCGCGTTTCCCCTTTTTATCCCACACACGGTGCTTAATGACCAGTAAAGAGGATAGAGCAGAAGCAGGGGTTGATTTGCCCTTTTGTACCGTATACATGGGTACTTTGTCCTTTTGTCGGCCGATGCAGTTGTCGTTGCTGTTATTGTCACAGCTAACAACGAGAAATCGAGCTCGTATAACTCTAACGTTTAGGTCGTGCGCATAATATACGCTATGCGATGCTTTCGCGTAGGGGATGATGGCTCATTCTCTGCAACAAAATCATAGGATACAAGTATTATTTACATAATCGCATTCATCGCTATAAGGAGTGTAGGTGCAGTGTGCTATAGCCATTTGAAGCAAGAACAGAATACCCGCGTCTAGTATTAAGTTGGAGTGTATTACAAATGATTGACGTGCATCGAGGTCCCTACAGTTTTTCTAAGGATTCAATGTACTTTCAGAAATACAAATCGACGAAACAGTCGATATACTTGTACAGAGTGCCAGTATACGAAGAAATAGATACAGTTTTAAACATTGGGTCCATTTTGAATTCTCGTCACGTGAGTCAATACACTCACGGGAATCTCGCCGTTGAAAGAAAAAAAATGAAATGAAATTGAAACACGAAAAAATAAAACCATCAGCTATTGAGACGACTCTCGGCAGGGCCCACGCTTACACGGCAAACCATTAAAATAATATCGTTTCGCGGAAGAACGATAATGACAGCGCGCCCGTTCTCCTTGAGGCTCATGAATAGAGAGCAGCTCCTCGCGCGCCATTCATTAAACGATCCACGCGAAATGAAAAGCCACAACTCGGGGGCGTGCGCGCACCTGTACGGGTCATTATATTATACCGCTCGCGTCACGGGCTCACGGAGCACCGCTTCCTTTGAAATCTTTGAGTCCCGCGTATATAGGTTTGCACCCGTGATATTATGTAATGTATATTATGATGTACGCACATGGAACACTTGAGCAATGAAAGAGCAACACCGTCGGATGTGTACGCGTGTGAATGTTCTTGTCTGAGTGCAGCCGAGGATGCGCTCGTTTACGGGTATTCCTTGTCCGCCGCTAGAAGGGAAGACGTATAGCGCAGCAACAGCTTGCCGACTGTACCACAGCCAGGCAAGTTTTAATTATATGTGGTGCTTCCTGCAGAGGTTTGTATAGGCGGTGTAGAAGAGCGTGTTGTCAACCGGTGTGGCTTTAGCAACCCTCGTTTGTTAGAGTTACCTTTTTTTTGTTTTTTGATTTTTCATGCGATTTTTTGGTCTTTGAAATATTGTTGCTGATGATAGCCATATTTACGATAGAGTTCCGTGCATAGTGGAGCATTCGAAAGTGTTTGATTTTTCATTGTTTGAAAAGCTATCGATACATTTTTAATAAATGAGTTGAATATTTTGAACACTGCTCCTTTGCCAAACAACCATTTAGTCACTTATAGCAACTACCATACGCTGGATTATTAAGTTATTGGAATCCATCTAAGAGTCTAAAATCAGATGTCCCCATTGCTGCGAAGGTGATTGATGTTACAATTATATTCGAAGTGATTTTTTAATATGCCAATTGAGATAGCATATAATTATATGCATAGTAACACATCATTGTAGAGCCTATTGGACACAGTTCTCAGAAATGGCTGTAAAATATATATATAAAAAAACTGTATTCACGATAATTTACTGGGTAGGACAGGTGGACAATGTCATCAATATATTTAAGTTACAGTTTTAAAGAAAAATCACAATCAAGGAACGATCTTATCGGATTTGTCAAGTTTTTTTTTTTTTTTTTTTTTTGGCAAAAAAGTGCTGTTTGTGTCCTATTCAAAAAGATGATTTTTTTTTTATCACAAGACTTTTTTAATTTATGGGTTGCGTTCCAATCCATGACTCTCGCTCGTACTTCGCTCCATCACTTTGGACAAACCAAATCCCGTGTACAAAAAATAGCTAGACAGGAATGAGCGCGCTCGTGCTCAGAAAGAAAAGATCGGGCTCTCATTAGGAACGAGCTGCCATAGAGATCAAGGCTCAGACGCTAGCCTACCTCAAATGAGATACACGTTGGCGTTGCGTGGTGCACGTATATAGTGTTTCCTTTGCTTCTTCCTGCACTCTCATTCGTGCTTTCCTATTAATGTTTTCCTCGAGTAGAAAAAAGAAAAAAAAAAAAAAAAAAGGACGATCGAAGCTGAGTGCAAGTAATGTAGGGTTGAAGCGGTTAATTTTTACGGAAACTCTATGGTTTGTGCCTTTCTTATTTATTATTATTATTTTTTGTTATGACGCTACTATATATTGTGCAATTTATACGCCTTTTCCAAGCATTGAGTCAAGGAAAAAAAACAAAAAATGAACTTTAATCCATCTGTAAATAAGACTCAATATTCTCTATAGCAAGTTGCAGAGTCAAATTAATTTAAAATAAAAGTGATGAATTCAAAGTGCTGACTTTGCATAGCAAATATTGCTGCTTACCTGTGCATAGTCAAGCCCTCGAATGTTTTTTAAAACAAAGCAACATTATTAAAAACACTTAAACGAATCCCCGCTCTCGACTCGACGGACTATTTTTCCCAAGTTGCTCTGATGCAGTTTGCAACTAAATTTCTCCCTCTTCTCCTTTAATTGCGTTTAATTCCAAGAAATACGTCTTGCTATTTATTACAGTACCAGGGGAAAAGTCGAGGAAAAGTAAAAGAAAAAAGGAATTGAAAAAAAAGAGAGAGAGAGTTGGTGGAAGAAGTTGGAAGGAGGAGCAGAAAAGAATCCGGCGTAATGTACATCACCCTTTCAGCGCGAAGCGCTACTCACGGCTCTTTTTTCCCCCCTACCCCGTCCCGACACTGTTAGCCACGCGTATACGCGCCACTATGTAAATTAGAATGCACCTGCAGGGCCTTTTAAAATTATGAGGGTGAAAGTAATTGTGATTTGTTAAGTATTCTTCTTCGTCCTTATTATTTTGCCTGCGCACCTGATGATGCTGGGGAGGTACCGGAGCCGAGGGCGCATTATTTGATATGATTCTGGAAATGGGGTTTGCGAGCACGTAGGATGCAGTGTTTGTTTTGGTATTACCTCCCGGTCGTGTTTGACTTGCGATGGAATCTCAGGAAATTAGTGGAATTGCCATTCAGGATCTTGCATGCGTCTCTGAAGCGATTGCTATTCGTATGTAATCTTATCAAATTCGAGGAGCCATAATCTCAGCATCTCATGTCTTGCTGTTAGATAAACAATTTATTTTACATATACCTATGAGTAACAAAAACTGTACTATGTTATTTGAACTATTTTTCTTTTCCAACTAAAGTCTCCAAAGGCGGAAAGAATAAATTCGACGATTTGTTTTTTGTTTCAGGTAAATCAAGTTACACTACACTCAACCCCCGTACCATCATACATTATGGAATTGTGAGTCATACTATTAAAAATATAAGTTTCTTCTAAAGCATCCCAATTACTTTTAGGGTAAATTACTTGGTAATGAAATGTTTCCAAAGATCCAACTAATGTTAAATGTCAAAGCTAAAGAAGTTAGTGATCAACTTACTTTTTATTTATTAAAACTTTATTTTGAATACCATTACAATGACTACCGATTACAAATTATATCCAACTGGAAATTATTCAAGTAAGGGATATTCCATCGTAAACTAATTTCTCAAAGAAAAAAGTTTCATAATGTCAAAATGAAATGCGTAAATTGAAGTATTAATGAAAAGTTGTACAATCAAGTGGTAGAAAAAAATAGATGGAAACTCCAACGAAATGTTTTATTATTGGGATTTTTGCTTTCCTTTCAATGAAAATGTTGGAAAGCTCTACCTCCTCGGACGACCATCATCGTCGCAACTCCCATACAGATCTGCGTAGGTAAATACAGCTCGAGCCTCGTGCCGGACAAACAGACTCATCACGCTGTGGTGGCGCACAGCGCGGTATCAATCGCCAGTCGTATCCCACGAAAGAACAATAGGAGGTAGGGACGGTCCCTATGCAAAGTACCGGTATGCACATGCATATTCCGCAGACGCAAAGGGGGCGCGAGACGCACCGCGGTCCGGATCAAGGAGCTCATTGTGCTCCCGTGGCTCATTGTTTGGGCTCGCGGCTGTCTTCGAGAGCTAGTATATGCCCGTGAGCCGCGTCGCGTGGCGAGTGCCACTGAATACTTACTCACTCGGCGCTGTGTAACGCAACGCTGAAGGGAGAAAAATAACCTGTCGGCGCGACGTCTTTGGATGCACAAACGTATCTCACCTACACTGGAACTTTTTGGCATCGCTGATGATGCTGTAGCTGTTTTGAATGGAGCTGTCGATGGTTTCCTTATTTTCATGGATACGAGAACTATGTTGCCTTAGTACTCCGATAATGCACCGACGCACAGCGAAAACACGTTTCTGTAGGAGGTTCACGCTAATGATTTTCCAACCAAGCGGTACACGTAGGGGGAGGTGGCCTACCGGGTATGTGAACGCTTAGGGTCCAGAAAATTTAGTATTTGTATGATGATCATATTAAATTTTTTTTTTTATGTGGGGAATACATGGAACCTCAAAACAAATATGCAATATTGTGTCATTGTCTGTTGATTTAAAATTTACCATTAAAAATAAAGAGACCACTTTGCCCTAGAAAGCGGCTTATCCCTTCAGGCAAAGTGTGTTGGCACTGCAATAAAACAACATCGGCCTTGTTTAGTTATCTGAATGATAATTTTAGTTTAATTTAATAACCTTTAAATAGTTTAAGAGACTTGCTTGTGGGAGTATAGCTGTACTTGGATCTAAATGACTGTTGGATTGGTAACCTGAAAACTTCATAATAGTAACTAAACAATATTTTAAAAATTTCTTAAGCAAATGACTTATTTGTGACATAAACCACTATGTTTTCCTCTTGTATTTACTCATAATCTAAAAAAAAAAAAAATAAGAAACAAATGATGTCAGGGCAAGTCGGGTACCTGTTACACAACCCGCTTTGCCCGAGAACACATTTTTTTATTTTCGTAATACTTACCTTGAAAACTTAAAATCAAAACGTCAATATTTTTCGCTCAATTTAAACTTCAATAAGCTCAAATTGATAGAAAATTATCAACGATACAATCAGTTTATTCGGTTTTGACTGAATACAAAATACATCTATGTATTTTATATTCAGTCAAAACCAAATAAACTTATACATACCTATTAGTACGTACTGAAATTTCAGCTGGGTCTATTTAGATTTACTGGAGTTAGAACTGAATGATAAAAATTCTTAATTTTACAGTTACAACTCCGTAGTTCTGCATAGGTTATTTTCAATTTTTTTCAGTTGTCAACAGCAAGTAATGAATGCTGGGTTGTGCCCTATACGTTACCATTAGATCAGTAAGTCAGCTACCTAGAATTTACTGGCACTTCATTTCATTATTTGGCCAGTAAAAACAGCAGAATAAAAAAAAATGGTAACAAAATTTTTTTTTCAACTTTTTAGTCGTGTACCTAATTATAAAATAGAGTGCTAGTAAGTTTAAAGTAGTTAACTTATTGTCCTGACAGTAAAGTTAACCAGAACCAAAAATTTTATTTGCTGGTGACGATTGCGGAAAAACACCTGTAGTTTTTGATAAATTTTAATTATTTTGATTTAAGTCATTGATCTGTACATATTTTTAAAATCAGACAATGAAAAATTGAAAAATTATTATTGCCTGACAGCCGGGAAACACTAATAAAATAATTAGGGACAGTTACGAGCTCTCCATGAGGGTCGAACAGACGAATCATGGCATACACCTTCCTCTTCATAGAGCTTAAACTTTTGTTAATCTCTGGAGCCCCAGATTCTAGACAGAGAGTACCAGTGGTCATCCAACTGTTGACAGCATATCGTGCCAGTTGGTCCAGCTGGTAGTCAGTGTACCTCAGATCCGATTTAGCTGTCACATTGAAAGTTGGACGATATAAGTCCTGCAACATAAAGTAAAAAATGTTAACAAAAACATGTATTATATGAATATCTGAAAAATTAATAAATTGTTACAAATAAGCCACTATAGAGCAGCGTACGTGGGTTGGAATCAAATATGTAATTAATAAAGTACGTTCTCTTTCCCGTTTCCAATTTACTTCTCCCTAAACTCCTACATCTCCTTCCTCTTCTTTCTCTTCAACTTCAATATCGTCTGCTATTTTCATTTCCTCTTCTACTACTTTCTCTACCGGTATCAATTCTATAATTTCCTCTATTAGCTCTTCATCTTCTACTTCCCCCACTATATCTACATTTTTCAATTCTTCATCTTCATTATTCTCTCTTACTTTTTATGGTTTTTCTGTACTCTTTTCTAATTCTTCTCGTTTTTCTTCTTCTACGTCTACTATTATAAAACCTTCATCGTAATCTTCTCCTTCAACTTCGCAACCAAGTCCCCATTTACTTTATTTTCCTGTAGATGTTTGACGTGAACAAAAATTTGCATTAGATAAGAATTATAAATAAGAAACGTGTATTTATTTATATGAATTACTTGAAATCTACCCAGTCCATGTGACTATTGCGGATGGTGCGAACACTATCAACATTGATAAAAGTGAAACGAGGACCATCGTTATTATCGTCATCATCGCTTAGATTGATAACGTCCATCGCCTCATCCTTTGTCTTCACTTCCTCCTCTGGGATGCTCACGTCAGATTTCAGTAGCACATGGTCCTTGAAAGGGCATTTGCCCACCACGCACAGTTAAACGTGCGAATTCAAAGCTGCCAAGACGTTAAGCTGCAATTCAAAAACATTACGCGTAAGAAATTCATAAAATGCAAAGATAAATCTAGATTAAAATACATACCAAGGACTCATAGCGATGGTACAGAGTAATAAACGCTTTACTCTGCATCACCGCCATTTGAAACAAATTGTCTATCCCATCGAACACGCAAGAGGTTGCAAACTTCAAAAGAGTCGCATTGTCCTGTTTGTCGAACTCTTTCATTTCTCTGAATTAAAGAAAACAATTAAGATTAGAGAAACTGTCTTCAACATTAAAGTTATTTAAGGAAATATTAACAAATAATATGATTCGTTTATTTTGAAAATGTATTTAATTATATTGATTTTTATTTATCTTACTAGAATAACTGTCAGAAGATTCTCGGAAGAAGTAAGCTGACAATTTATTAGTGGCAGTAGTATACATGAAAGATAAAATATACATACTTAATAAGCACAGCAAACTAAATTTTTATCAAACGGATCAGCATTTTTTAATACCAAAAGGTGTTCTATCCGCGAGCTTCTTTCCTTATAAGCATCAAGAACATGTGGCCGCCAGAATTCCTTGCTGCCGACACCAGGTTCTACTTTGATGCTTCCAAGTTCTTCTGAACTGGAAAGTGGCAAGTTTGTGTTTGCCGTCGACTCGGTGGTTAAAATATCATTCTCTTTGTTTTCCATCTTGTAAAGTATAAAAGGAAGTTTTGTATTATTTTTGCTTTATTACTTTCAACTACGAAATAGTCCATACCAATTGATAAATTTACATGAAATTGAGTTAGTTGTTCATGATGTGCAGAGACACGTACCATCAACCAAAATAAACCCTTATCTAATTGACAATCAGTTTAAGTCGTGAAACTAAGTTACATGACTATGGTATGTTTCCAATCATCAGGGATTATGGATTATTTGGATTGCTGATATCATTGCCAAAAATAAAAAATTCAATTTCGTGAATTTCGTTTGTATGTATTCAGGGAACAAAAACTAACAAATTTGTCATAGCCCTGAGATAATCAAGCATGCACATAACCTATACTGAGCTTCAACTATGTAATTCAAATAATAGCGACAAACAAAATGTAACTTTCTTAAAATCAAATCAATTGTATTTTCATTTTTTACTTTGTTTTACTTAAACTACTACTTTACCTCAAAAACTTGAAGATGTGTGTTGAGGAGGTTCGGTAGTGATAATTTTTTATGATGAAAATTTTTGAAATTTCGATCTGTTGTTTGGGATAATAGTATCAAATTACAGCTAAATTTTTGAAGGGTTTAACCACACCGTTTTCAAGATATATTGACCTGAAAAAACAATATTTTAACATGTAGGCTTATGGAGAAATCACTTAAATTTCACATAAAAAAAAAACGGCTAAATGAACTTGCTTTTTTTTTTTTTTAATGAAAGAATATTGTCAAAATAATATTTTGTCAAAGTTTGAGAGAGCCCTACCACAAATTTCTATTAAAAAACAGCAAAAAATGTGCTCGCAGCAGACGACTTGGCAACGCTGCTTTTGTAGCGCGCTTTGAAATGTAATGAATAGTAAAAACTCCTTTTGTAATTGAAAATTTAATTATAAAAAATTCAACCAAATAAATGAGTACACTG